GGGAAGGAAAGGAAGGGAAAACTGGGCAGAAGGGAGGGAGGAAGGGAGGGGGAGAAAAGAGAAAGGCAGAAAAAAGAAGGAAGGGAGGGGAAAGAAAACTGGGCATAAATGAGATTCCCTGAGGAGAAACAGGAGCTGATGTCACATTTCCTGGAGGCCCTTCAAGGAGCCATGGTCCTTTCTGAAAATCGCCAGTCTTTTTTTGTTTAATTTTTATTTTATGTGTATGAGTGTATTGCCTGAATGTGTTTAAATGCACCCTTAACATGCACTGCCTGCAGAGATCAGAAGAGAGTGTTGGATTCCCCTGGAAATGGAGTTACAGACAGATGTTAGCCACTATGTGGGAGATGGAAATAGAACCTGGGTCCTCAGCAAGAGCAGCCAGTGTTCTTAACCGCTGAGCCATCTCTCCAGCCTGTGATCACCAGTCTTGACTGTCTGGTACATCATGCCAGGTGCCATCATGCACTACTCCACATACTGACTCTAGGAGAGAGAACATCATGTCATCCTCACAGAACTGAGGAGGTGGGGCTTCCCCAGGCCTTCACACTGAACTCAAGTGCCAACTTGCACTACATGGTGAGTTCCAGACCAGCCTGGGCTATAGAGACCTTGTCTCATTTTTTACTCAGACTAAAACTGAATCTCCATTTCTTTTATTTAAAATATTTTATTTATTTATTTTTACGTTTATCAGTGTATTGCTTCCATGTAGGTAGGTACACCCATGTGCAATGCCCACAGAGGTCCAAAGAGGTTGTCGAATCCCCTGGAACTGGAGTTAGGACAGTTGTTAGCTGCCATGTGGGTACTGGGAATCAAACCCGGATCCTCTGCAAGAGCAGCCAGTGCTCTTAACTGCTGAGCCATCTCTCTAGCCCCTGAACCTCCATTTCTTTAAAAAAAAAATTATTTTTTATTTCATGTGTATGTTGTGTGTATAAGTGCATCTGTGCATGCAATACCTATGGAGGCCAGAAGATGGCATCAGGATCCCCTGGAACTGGAGTTATAGTTGGAGTGACCATTTGGGTGCTGGAAACAAAGCCCAGATCTTCTGCAAGATCCACCTGTGCTGTTAGCCACTGAGCCATCTCTCCAGCCCCTAGAACCTCCATTTCTATCCTTCAAAGCCTTGTGTGATTTGGCCTCTACTTCCTCAACTTTCCTTCTTTCTAATCTCTCCCTCACTGCCCTCCAGCCACAATGACGTCTAAGTCCCTTTTTGTGTTTTTTGTCTGGGTCCCTTATCCCCCGGTGATGTCTTTATCCCCACCTCTTCAAAAAGGTGTGGCACGCCTGCCTCAAAATTGGACCCCTTCTTGGAAAGCACTAATCTGTAATAGAAAACTCACCAATGTTAGCTCAAACCAGGAAGGTTTTCTTTTCTCACAAAGCAAGAAATTTGCCTCAGGGCTACAAGATGACTGAGGCATCTCCCCTGTCACATCCCTGTTCAAGGCAAGAAAGGGGGTATAGGAGGGGAAGCTACATCTCCTGCATCCATCCTATTGTATTAAAAAAAAAAAAAAAAGCATTTTTTGAAGTTCCCCCAGCACCATTCCACTGTTATTTCATGGGCCAGAACTGACTGACAGAGCCATTCATGGCTGTGTGGGAGTGTGGGAAGTCTGTGTGCTTGGCTTTCCCTCCCCTGCAGTCAGGAAAGGCAAAAGCAAGGGAAAGGGATATCCCGAATGGCTATGGACAGTGATTTCGGGAAGCGGTGTGTCGGGGGTGGGGAACTGACGACGACGAGACACGGACTGTGTATGCCCAGCAAGCGAGAAAAAGCAGGAGACAGCGGGCGAGATGGAATGAGAGCAGGTTGCAGATCCCTCAGGCGTCACACAGTCCCACTTCTGAGCCCTGTGTACACCCAGAAACACTTTGCTGCCTCCCTTCCCAGTGTGTGTTCCCCAGCTCTCCTGCCTCTTCTCTGAAAGCCAGAACTGGGGCACACAGTCACAGTGGGGGGGGGAGTGGTTTTTAGCCACCTGCCCCACACTGAGGATCCAGGGTGACTGGATGATGGTGACAGAATGAACAAGACACAAAGGAAAGCAAGAGCAAAGGGAGCAAAACAAGCTTCCTCCAAGTCACGATTCAATCAGAAGAATTAGCTGCATATGGTAGTGCATGCCTGTAATCCCTGCACTTGGGAGGTAAGAGGATCTGGAGTTCAAAGCTAGCCTTGGCTACATACAGAGTTTGAGGTAAGCCTGTGCTACATAAGAGTCTAACTCAAGCATTAAAAGAAAAAGGGAAAAGAAAAACGGGTGGGCATAGTGACTTACCCTTGGAAGGGTGCAGCAGGAAGATTGCCACAAGTTCAAGGCCTGCTTAGACTACATAGGAAGTTCCCACCTGGGCTGAAAGTGAGACTTTGTCTCTCAAAAAAGAGAGAGAAAAGAAAAATATTCCGTATATCGCATTGCCACTCTACAGGCTAGTCTTGTAAGTTTTCCTGATTCCCACCTACTTTTATCAGTATCATTGCCAAAAGAAAACGTTATTTTTAAAAAAACTTCTGGCCTTGTCTCACTTCTCTTCCTAGGGTCCTGGGGTAGAGCATTTGGCTAACATTTACACGGCTGAAAACCTAAGTTGGAAAATAGCAAACAGAAGAGTACAGGTACCAGTGACTAGGTGGCCCAGGGCTTAAGAGCACTGGCTGCTCTTGCAGAGGACCCTGATTTGAATCCCAACACCCACATGGCGGCTAACAACCATCCGTAACTCCACTTCCAGGGAATCCAACATCTTCTTTTGGCCTCCATGGGCATTGCATGACATGGGTGCACTTACATACATGCAGGAAATACATGCATACACATTAAATAAATAGTAAATAAATAGATAAATAAACAGTTTAAAAAATAATTTTAAAAACTGCAACTTCCCCAGAATTGGGTGCATAAACATCCTCCAACATCCCTCCAAAGCCTCCTTCCTGTGGCCTTAATATTCCTGCATTTTTTTCAAGCTCCACCCACTGAAATTTGCTCCAGATATACTGTGGCACAATGCCACATTCTTAACCTTACATGAGCGTCGTGGGGTCACCGGGTGATTGTATGCACAAACACAAGGAACCCTCAGTGAGTTCAGGGGTTAGTCATAGCTTGTTTAAGGGAGATCTCCTTAATTTACACTTCGCTTCTCCACTCTTGAGTAATGTTACTTTGATCTTCAGCACAGTAATTACAGGTCCACAGCATGCTACATTGATGGGTATTTATTTGGTGAATTGCCATGAATTTTGACTTTGAATTTATATCGTGAACTATCACTAGGCTTTTTCCTATTTTCGTTTCTATAGCAACATCACTATATAGGAATCTGGGACGAGACCTAAACAACAGCCACAAATGCAGAATCAGGAACCAAACCAGGTGAGGCAGAAATGATACAGTGACCTGTGAGTGGGACTGGTGCTGGCTGAGAAGAGCTAGCACATAATCCGATTGCATGTAAAACATTTTGTCTCTGCAATAAATAAACTAGACCTGCATAAAAAATCATTTTATGGAGCTGGAGAGATGGCTCAGTGATTAAGAGTGCTTGCTGCTCTTGTAGAGGATTTGAGTTTGGATCCCCACACCCACATCGGGCAGCTCACAACGGCCTGTAACTCCAGCTCCAGATACTCTGACCCCCTCTTCTGGCCTCTTTAGGCACACGCTTGCGCGCGCGCACACACACACGCACACACACACACACGCACACACACACACACAAAGCTTTCTTTAAAACCATTTTACGGGCTGGCTCAGGCCCAGCCTCTTCTCATCTGCTGCCTTGTTCTCTCTCCTGTATTCCTGTATTATCTTCCAGGAGCACCAGGACAGTCAGTGGTTCCTCTAGGATGCTCCCCACAGGGCCTCCTGCCTGCCTTTGCTCACTCTGCCCTCCTGGTTAGAATCTGCCATCCCTCTCTACACATGCCCAAAGTCCAGCTTTAGCATTTTCAGATTCTTCCCTGATCCCTCCTGTAACACTCACATCTTCTATGATTTCTAGTACCCACTTCACATTCATTGCATA